AATTTGATGATGGAAATAGAATTGAGTTATAGGTTATTTATAAAAAGTTATTACTAATTTTGTATATATGAATATTACAATTCTATCGATAATAAAAATCTATACAACAATTTTATCTTAAAAATCTATCCAAAAATCGCTTACTTAGCATGATACATGTCACAATAATACCTATTTATCGTCTACGTGGTGCGACACTTGGTAAAAAACTGGAATGCCAAATGTCGTTGTCACGTGGCCTGACCGCAAGACCGACTTTATTTATTAGTGATATGATATGAACCCGGGTGATGCCCAAATGGTTGATAAAATTTAATTTTACGATAACATTTTTACATGAATGTTAAATACGGTCAAATAATTTGTTCTGATAATAATGTAGGATATTTATTAGACATACGTTATCATATGACTTATATTTATATAATAATATACTTTTTGTAGTTTTGTTATAGATATCTATGTTATTATTGACTTGGAATTATTTTATTGAACTTACATTAATTTCACAGAATTGAAAGTATTTTTACCAAACTAAAATTATTTTTACCGATTAAAACTTATATTTACTGATTCTCTTATATTTTTTTAAATAAATTAAATATCAATGCATTTTGTATGTGACTAGCCACACAATCGGGCTGGACAAAGTAACCCCTATAAACTGACCAAGTAACCCTTTACTCCGGAATACTAACTGAGTAACATCTAACACCGACAAAGTTACCCCTATTTATAACATTGATTGAGTAACCACTATAACACTGACCAAGTAATCTCTATAGCACTAACGAAGTAACTGTTGTAATAGTTGGTGACACTACGGTTTGGCCAGCTACGTATAAAAGTTTGTAATTAAATATATTATAAATGGATCTTATTTTAAAGAACTTTTTAAAATGAATTAGATGATGGAAATAGAATTGAGTTATAGAATATTTATTAAAAGTTATGATTAATTTTGTATATATGAAATATTAGAATTCCACTATACAATATTTTTATTTTAAAAAATCTATCCAAAAACCGCTTATTTAGCATCATATGTGTCACAATTATACATATTTATCTCCTACGTGGCGCGACATTTGGTAAAAAACTGAAATGCCAAGTGTTACTGTCTCGTGGCTTGGCTACGAGATCGGCTTTATTTATTAGTGATATGATATGATATGATAGCGTGCAGACATTTATGCTTTTAAAAATATTTATTTATACATTTTTTTTTCCTCATCAATATTGTCAATTACAAAATTTGAACCGAAAGAGTTCCTCGAAAATAGCTTGCTATAAACCATTGCCTATCAAAGTAACTGAGTACTTCGAATTATTTAAGTCTCATATGAGACAGAAGCTTTGTCTTTGATTACGATGTAGTAGAACTTCAAACTTGCTAATATATCATTCAGCAGTAACTTGACTTCCGAGAATGCTCTTGTAGACGTTGCTTACAGTTGTAATTTAGATCAAAGTCAATGCAAAAATTGTCTTTTACGCTGATTATTGCCTCAAAATAAATGTTTTCTCCTGAGGCGGGGTCATGATTTGTTAGAAGTGGTTGACATATTTCAATTTCAAAGTTGCATTTCATGTTAACAAGTCAACATAAGAAGAATTTTGTCCTATTGTTAGGTTAAATAAATCAAAGTGAGGATTAGGAAAGTTTTAGTCCTTGAAATTGGTAACGAGAATTGCTCATCAAGATCACTCATTCTCCTCACACCATGAGTCAAAATGAGTTGTGTACGCATCTGAAATGTAAACATTGTGTATTCTAGAAAAATATATAGTGATTTCTAGTAAAATTGGACGATATTTAACAATCTCCGCCCATCCTTAAAGATAGCCATTTTACATTAGAAGTCATGCAATGAATGTCATATTTTGTCTAACTACATAACTTAAGTATCATATCTTAGTAAATAAGCAAATTAAACGAAAAATACACTTATCTCAATGTTATGTTGACCAAATTGACAATTACTGCATCGTGGAGAATCACTGACCTAAAAGACGATTCCGTGCTATCCCAGTACAGTAGACATCAAGCAATTTCCCTCACGGCGTCGGAATTTGTGTGCACTCACAAATCCGACTGGAACTCAGAATACTTGCCCAAAACCAAAGGAGTATTTTTTTAAGTGAAGAAGATAGTATTTCTTATTTTTTGTGTGTATATAAAAAAGATGGAAAAGCATGAATATATATGGAAAAAAGGGGAGGCAAAGGGCTGCACTTACAAAGAAAAATGGTCAATCAAATAAAGGTGTAACATGCTCCATTAAAGGAGTTAATTAATGGGTAAATAAGGAGGCAAATGGCTAGTAATTTACAACCAACTATTTATGATCGTAACCCCCAATTTAATAGCAGTGTTAACAACTTAATTCAAATGAATAGACCATGAATATTGTAATAGATACAATATTCCAATAACATTAAATCATCAAAGAATAACGGGTACCAAAAGATATTATGCCCATAACCCACTTACCACTTCTCAAACAAGTAGTACAAAACTACTTCAATGAATAAACAATACAAAACTTTGATAATTATCAAAGTGGGACTCTGTCTTTCATTTTCTCTCACCTTTCTTTGCGTTTCACTCAAGAACTTCCAACATCATATACACTAATAACTTTTCCAATCATCTCGACTTCTTCTTCTTCTTCCTCTTTCTTTTTTTTTTTTTTTTTTTTTTTTTTTTTTTTTTTTTTTTTTCTAAGTAGATTTTCAATGCAACAGGTCAAAACAAAGTAGCTTAGTAATCAAATAGGCCAACACTAATAAAATGGAGTCCAACTTCTATTAACGAGAAGTAACGTAGAATGTCAATGATTTAAGGGGAATAACGGATTCTAGTGAGCTTATTTTATTATGTCGGGCCGGGGCGCCACATTTCATGTTATTACATGCAATCATGTATAACAATATGTGCACAAGTGATTTGATCTTAATTTCATTACTTTTTAGTTATAATTATGTTTTCCTATAAAAAAAATTAATAAAACATTTTTCAACTGTTAAATTTCACTGTAGTGTATGTATACGGACTTGACTGGTAACACTTTTTAATACTTTGTGCTACGTTTATATAGATTTTACTCCGTATTTTTCAGCAATGCAATCCAACTTGAAATAACCATTGTTTTGGTTGATTCTTTCCACTATTTTTATTGTTGTTTTAGGCAATTATTTGCAATAAATTAAAATCTTCATAAGAAAAGGTGCTTAACTTGGTAGAGTTGCCGTTAATTGAATGTATATAGTCATAGAGGACAACATGCACTCTCATAAATCATCATATGATCATATCATTCATTTGCATGTATTGAGAAAGCACTATTATTTTATTGGAATAATAACAACATATATAAGAGTGAGTCTATGTTATTTTACCTGATCTAAGTTTCTCATTTATTAAACATTGAGCTTATGTTTTATATTAATCCTTGAAAAATAAAATTCACAAATGAATTTTTTTTAAATTTGTACTCCCTCCGTCCCATAATACATGAGATGTTAGACTTTTTTTCACTATTCATGCATTAGGTTTGACCATAATTTTTTACCAACATAATAAAAATATATTTTATCATAAAATATGTTGTTAGATAGGTTTTAATATTAAGTTTCATAGTATAATTTTTAAAATAAATTTCATTAATATTTAGTTATATAAAATAAAGTCCAACTAGTACATTGGTATGTGTGCAATGTTTAACTGTATCATGTATTATGGGACAGAGAGAGTATTGATTAATAAGATATTAATTTGTTTAATCAGATTATTTATGAAACAACTATAAAGATATTACGGAGTAATTGGTCTAATCAGATTATATATAAAACAAGTAAATATTTGCTTAAATCAGTTGAAGTGGAGTTATTGTAAGCTTATGTAATCTAGTTGGCAGTATCTAACACACAATTAGTAAATAAGTTCTGCTTACAAAGAATAGCCAATGTCATTCCGACTAAGTATAAGTGTATAACATAACGAAAATAACAACTCCAAAATGCGCAAAGTAATGCTTAATAAGTCTGACATTTGCCAGATCACTTTGATATTTGAGACAAAATGATACAATTGTTTAACAAAGAAAGAGAGAATATGTATATGGTTTATAGTAACAAACACCATGCATGTTAACAGAATAACAGAAGACAAAAGAGGTATATGATATTCCGTAAGAATGTTTACAAATATTTAGGGCATCTACTTCTCTGCTTGTCCTTACTCTTAGCCATATTGTACTTCCCGCCTTTAACTAACATCTTTTATGTAGCATAAACTTGTAAATAAGACGGTATACATTAGATATTGTTAGACAGATATAAAGTTATCTTAAAAACAAATTAAAGTCCTCACTATATAGACTAAAAGTAACCAATACTTAATTAATAATTTTTATTTTATTTACTTATAAAAAAATAATAAGTAAAAATAAAAAATCACCTCTTAAAAATCACAAAATTACCGATTAATTTGATCATCACTTCCCAATATACCAAAAATTTTCATATTAAATCAAGTAAAAACCACCCTAAAATTTATCAAGGCTTATCATAATATAAGACAGTAAACAGTAAAATTACGTACTATATACACCTGAGGTATGAAAACAATTTTTTTCATTAATCAATTGAGAATATCACAAAAACATATATATAAACTTTAAAAGAGAAAAGCAAATACATCATCTTATATTCTTCATAGGATTCTTGCACATTCACCGACCTACTAAAGGATAGAAATATAATTTTCTCAAACGTCAAGAATAATCCTTTATATGTACTATATACTTGTATATACTTAAATATTATTTATATTATGGATTCTAAATCTTCTAATCATATTCCATTATCACATATCAGTAGCTTGAGCTATTCAAGAAAGATTTAAAAACAGGACAAAACTTTTAAACAAAATCAACATGATAAAAAAATCAACCAACTTCAATTCCCTCATTTTCTTGAAGCTATAACAACTATACTTAGATTCACAAATCACAACTACAAATAAACTAGAATTCAAAGACAACAAGCACACCCACATTCTTTCACGAGCTTATCATATAATGTAATTGAGTTATCAAACAAAAATATGATGAAATAAATCACAAAAACATATTAGATTTCTTCCACTCTTTATAGTAAATTGAATTTACACCAATTTTCATAGGCACACACACACACTTACCTACCCAATCGAAACACTGTACTATAATTGATCATCAGTACTGGGGTACCTTAAGGGCTCTTCGAATCGACTTTCTTCTCCAATTCCTTGAACCAAAACACTACAATCAGATTCCAAATTAGGAAGAGAAGCCAAAGAGCTCATTTCAACCCATCTAGAACTCTCCCCACAAGTTGTAGTATCCGACGTTGATCCATCATTGTTTACGAAGTTGTTGCCATAATCGCCGTAAAGGAACTCAAGTCCATCTGCAGCCACCCTTTGGGGGTTTCTACTCATCAACTCCTCGAGTTCTGGAGGGAAAGTACTACTTTGTCCTTCCATCATTCCTATCCTTACACCTTCACCTTCAGGGTTAAAGTGGGACGAACTTGTTATTTCACATGTATGAATCATGGTGTCCAATGGAGGTGTTGTATTAGAGAGGTTGATATTTGTTTGCGTGATATTATTATCACTTGGGTAAGTAATGTTATGATGAGGTAATAATTGAGGATCATTGACACTATCATAATGTCCTCCATTAACCTTCATCAACAATTTTCGAAGTGATGTGTGATCATTGTTGAGACCTTGGAAATTCTCAGATGAAGAATTCAAGTAATTCGGTATTGAAATTGCACTAGGTAGATTGGTAGTAAGTTGGGGTGGCCAATATGGGATTTGGTTATGATTGACAAAACTCGAGGTAAACGGAATGGAATAAACCAATCTATTATCCTCTTGCTTTTTTAGTAGGTTGTTTGCTTTCCGAGCTTGTTGTTGATCTCTCCTTTGCTTTCCTAGGAGTTTTTTCTTCAACCTTGTGTTCCAATAATTTTTAATATCATTGTCTGTTCTTCCTGGTAATTGTGCTGCAATTACAGACCACCTATTCATCCAAAACCATAAATAATTTTATACTTAATCTTATATATGTATGTATTGTATTAAGGATTTGATTGAATAGTGTACAGCCCTATAATACAAAAATTTCATACCTGCTTCCAATACTCACATAGAGGCTTAAGATAATTCTATCTTCTTCTTCTGAGAATCCTCCATGTTTGATGTTAGGCCGGAGGTAGTTTAGCCATCGGAGACGACAACTCTTTCCACATCTCTTAAGCCCTAAGAATGTAAATAACTAACAATAATTATATATACAAAAAATTTAATTATTTGTATACATATATGTCAATTCTTACCGTATAAAGAGAGCCATAAACGCAATGATGTAAATAAGATTTGATTCAGGTTAACTTTCAAGACATAATAATAACAAGAAGCTAAGCTATATATAGCTAGTTGTTTAGCATGTTTATTTATGAAGATAACTAATAAGAATTCCATCATGAGATTGAAAAGAAGATGATCATCTGATCTAGCTAGGGTTAGTTACCGATTTTTTGAGGCAACGCGATCCAATTACCACCGGTACCATTCTTTTCGATGTAGGATTTGAGCTTGGCGTCTTCTTCTGGAGACCATGGACCTTTCTTCACGTTAGCTTTATCACAACAAGGAGCTCTACCCATATTTTCTTTTCTCCAACACCTTAATTAAGCTTAACTTATGAGTTTGGTGTTGTGTTATGACTTAGAAATGTTTAATAACTTGTTTGAATTAGCCTATCTTTTTCTTAATGATTTAGAGAATGAGAAAAAATGGGAGAAAGGGAGAGGAAGGGAGAGGAAGATAGTAGGAGAATAATAATGAATGATATATGAAAAAGCTAATAAGCTAAGGTAGGATAATTAAGCAAAGGGCACAGAAAAGTCATGTGTATGATAATAAAATAATATAAAGGGGTCTGCGCTATAATAAAGTTGGGGTAGAATTATAAAATTAAGGTGGATTAATCATCCCAGTATGTAAGACAAGGATTTTTCTTCTTGTCCTTCATGGCTTGGTATCTCTGATATTTCTTTTTATATCAAATCCTTGGGTCTAGTCATGACTAGTGTATTCTTTTCTTAAATTAAATAAACAATCGTCATGCATAGGGTCCAATTATAATCTTATTGTGATGTTATTAGTCTTCGTATAAATGTAGAAAATTGTATAATATAATTGTTTATAAAAATAATCTTTGTATTAATCAAAGCTAAGGAGTGTTTATGCCAAATTTCGCCTAAGGGCGACCTAAGGGTGGGACGTTCGACGGTTACAGAAGAAACTATAGAAAATGAACTAACTTAAAGTTTAAAGCAAATAAAAAACAAGGTATTTTGGTGACGCAAAAAAGCCAGACGTGGGAAAAACTGCGGGTGGGTGCAAGACCGCTGTTTCACTATGAATAATTATGAATACAATAAGTATGAGAGACTATTAGAGTTGAGAGTAGAGTGCATATGAACAATGTATCTACTGAGTACAAGGGCTATGCTATAATGTTGATTATTGTAGGGAATTTTTCAAACTCAACCTTTTGAGCCCCACTGTGATCATGCTTTTAGGCGTGGTGGCGTCTAAGGGGAAGGAAGCTAGAGATAAAAGAATCGCCAACAAGTTTTACGAACTTGTAAACCGTTCACGGATGTGATGGTTACAGCCCATTCACGATCACGGAGATCACTAACTCCATAGTATTCCGGAACTATGAATGGATATTCGGGGATGATGGTACGAATCCAACCTAAAAGAGATTGAACCCGCCCTAAATCGACCTCTACTTAATTCTTATGATATTCATGTTCGCTTTCCGACAACATACATACATTTAATTAATCCTAAGCATATTTAATCTATGTTAGTTGATTATTAATGCACAAATAAATCTATTATTGGTGATCACTTGAATTAAAATCATATTAAGCCTAAATCAAATTATAAATTATCTTATTAGGCGTGATTTCAAGTACTAATTCCCTTTAATCCTTCAAGAAGGGGCGTGATCAAGCAATAATAATAAATTATGAATAATCAAACAATGTATAATAATTGACACAACAAATTATCATCATAATAATATATTCAAAACATTATTTAATGCAAAATCCTAGGCATGATACTAAATAGATCAATAACAAACCCTAGCATGTCACTAATAAATCTATTAATGCACAAATAAATCTATTATTGGTGATCACTTGAATTAAAATCATATTAAGCCTAAATCAAATTATAAATTATCTTATTAGGCGTGATTTATTAGTGTCATGTGAGATGTTGATTTATGATTCTTAGTATCATCTTAGAAAGTTGGTTATGATTGATAGTATCATGTTTAGGATAATGCTTTGATTATTCATATCAATCATAACCAACTTCCTAACATGATACTAAGAATCATAAATCAACATCCTCACATGACACTAAGAAATCATAAAAACATCCTAACATGATACTAAGAATCATAATAACATCCTAACATGATACTAGGAATTAATATAATATTCTAACATGACTTCTAGATCAAAAGAATAATCAAGTAATCAAATTACTCACTTTGATGCCTCGTATCTCTTTCTATCAAAACAATACACATGTTAGTAAACTTCAAGAAAGATTAAATCAAATAAACTAAATAAGAATTGAAATATAGATTTGGGACCAAACCCTCAAAACTATCAACCTTTCGTGTCGAGATCGAAGGCAACTTCGAGATTGGCTAGGAGTATTCAAAGCTCGTGATGGAGGTTTGATGCTTGATTAGGGAAAAATATCAAGGATGTGTTAGGACGTGTTTAGGATAGGCTAAGAAAAGAATCAAGAGAGAGAGAGAAAGTATTAGAGAGGGGATTAGATGATGATTGTTGGTGATTGAAAACGGGGTGATACGACCTCTATTTATAGGGAAAATAGTGAGTCGAATGATCAGAAAAGAGTCAGAATTCAAATCAAAGTAAAATAGGTTCCATTGCGGTGCGAAAACTTTTCCGCGGCGCGATAGGTCCATTGCAGCCCGACAGACTTGTCACGGCACGATGATGCTGTCGCTCAGCGATGGTTTTGGAAAGATATAATTCATACGGAATCCAATTTCCAATTGGATTGGGTTAACCAATTTTCGTACGTATTCTATTTTGACCGAGATTAGGATTATTGAAAACAGATGTTTTATCCGATGTAAAATTCATAAATCTTTATCTTTTTGAAAACAGGATAAATTAGAACCTTCTAGAGGATTCGAGAAGCTCATAATAAATCCTAATGGATTTAAGATTAAAAACAAACTTCTAGATGATTCTAGAACCTTGTAATAAATCCTAATCGGTTCAGGAATGGGATAAAGGTAAATGGACCCTCCACATGATCATTGGGTCGCAGGTAAGGCTTGGTTCAGGCTCGGTTTAGTATTTTGACCATAACCTTTTCGTTATAAGTCGGATTTGGGCTTATAATATATCGTTGGAAATCACTTTTCAAGCCCCATCCAATTATACAATAATTGAACCAAAATTTTGGACCAAAATAGACTGGTTAGGACGTTTTTATAAAGAGGACACGAAATGAATGATTTTCAAAGACATGAAATGAATGATTTTGGCTTAAAATATTTAAGGAAAGGTTATAAATGGTCAGGGATGAAGGGAAATTCATGAGACTCTTTAACTCTTCACCTAACTCGATAATCAAAGATGTGAAAGTACTCATCACTGGGTTTGGTTTTGGGGAGACACAATCATGATTTTACAGAAACCCCCACTTTGACTGAGTTTGGAGAAACATAAGTTTCGGAAACAAAAAGTAAGTCGATAGGAACGGAGAATGATTCAAGACGTTCTGCGATCCTAAATCATTCTTTTTAGCGTCGATACCTGCAGAAAGCGTTAATTCTACAAATCGTTTGGAGAAACGTATCTTGCACTGTCGGGTACACGTCTCTGCGCGACATTAATTTGCTGAATCAAATTTTCTTTGCTTGACAAACTCCACTTCTTAGGGAGCGCCATCGAAGATTGCGGTGCATCGCTATCTCCAAACTCAGGTGACAATCCTGGAAGTGGTATCTTCTCCATCTTTGGAAAATCTACCGTAAAAATCTCATCTCTCAAGGTCCTACCGAGCTTCAAATTGATTTCCATAGAAATCTTCCATCTTAGGAATTCTTTGTGATTATGCTCAATCATTACTCAATCAATGTACTCCACCAATGCTTAGGCGGATTCAACCAATGCTTGGGTGTACCGAAAATGTGCTCAACCAATGCTTAGGTGTTCTCAAATATGCTTAGCCAATGCTTAGGCAATCTAATATGTACTCAAATATATTCGGCCAATGCTTAGGCGCACTTAAATTAATCAATAAGATGATCATCATCAGGCCGATCATCAATCAAAATTGTAATCGGGTTGATTACTAATCAAATCAAATATTTGATCAATCATCTTGAGGCTCAAAGACTCAATTGTGTATCAAGAGGCTCATTTGGATAAATATGGACCACAAAATCAAGTCGTAGGGCCCACAAAAGCTGAAGCAGGCGAAATCAGAGCCATCGCGTCGCGACAAATCTATTGCGCTGCGATGAATTGGCGTTTCCGAGAATTTAAACCTTTCTTCTTCCTTATTTTCTCGGCTGCTTGTGTTTTTGTCCGTTCGTCATCGAACTTCATTTTGCTCGTTTCCCCTCGTTTCTCAATCGAATTCGCTCAAATTTGTCTCAAATTTTTCACTCTACTACACCGATCTATGTAAGTTTTACTCAACTTCTTAATTAGGATGTATTTCGAGCGTTTTTCTTTGCGAATTTCCGGAAAATCCGAAACTTGTTCTTGTTGTTTGCTCGATTTTGGTTGAATTTCTTGCCATGAAATTGCTTGTATGTGTTTGAATGTTACTTTATGAACGTTTTGAATCTAGAATTGCTTGATTTGGTGAAGAAACGAGCATTTAATCATTGTTGAAAACTCTAGGTTCGTGAGTACAATGTCACTTGTCCTTCATGATTTTTCTTGCCCTCTGTGCTTAATTTGTTGCAATATTTGTCATAAACTCATAAGAATTTGTTTTGGTGATCAAAATTTTTATTTTTGTGCGAATCAAAATCTTGCTCTGTTTTTGCATTTTTGTACTCTGTTTTTGACGAACATAGTATCTGTAAGGTTTCGTAGTGTCCCACACTACGCGGAATGAAACCCGCCAAGACCCGCCCCCATAATAAATGCAATTAACAAGCAAAACATAATTAAAACACAAGAAAGGATAAAAGAATATACCTTTGACGCGTGCTTCGCTCAACAATGAGCTCTTACTTGAACCCCAAAAATACGAGGCCTCCGACGGGATCGTACCCTCGAACCCGACCCGAACGTCCTAAGCCTCGAAGGTTAGTCGAGGCCCAGACAAAATAAAACTAAGAGTTTTACAAATTTAAGGTTTACTCAAATCAAGAGTTGCCTTTTTAATTCCACTCAAGTGTGTCCATTCCTAATACCCAAGCAAGGTATTTATAGGAAGTTGGATCCTTGATTTCCAATCTCCAACCAATGTGGGAGAGTTGGTAAATTAAACAATTTATTTAATTCTAAATTAAATAAATAATTAAATCAATCACAACACAACAAGTGGCGCAATTAGGGGCTAATGAGTCATGCCCAAGGTTAGGTGAGGGGGACCATAGCCTTGTTCCCCAAGGCTTTTCTTGGTCCCCACAACCACACAAAACCGGCATCAAGGGGTGCTGGGCTGGCAGCCAGCTAGCACCAGCCAGCAGCCTTGCATCCCCAGCCAGGCTATGCGTGCTGGCGCTGATGTTGCGTGCTAGTGCTAGGCGCTGCTAGCTGCTGCACTGGCGCTGGCCCCTAGCACTCCCAGGCACT